AGCTCATCGATGAGTTTAACGTCCAGGCATATCGACAGCAGATTTCACTTGTGTCGCAAGAACCTGTGAATACGATCGTCACATTGATCCCTTGGTAGAGAGAGCTGACCGGTTGCCTTGCAGACTTTGTACGCGGGAACTATTCGCTTCAATATCTTGCTCGGTGCCGCCAGACCAGAATCTGAGGTCACGCAAGAAGAGATCGAGGCTGCCTGCCGTAGTGCCAACATACTAGATTTCATTCAATCACTTCCAGAGTAAGACTTCTCAACACTACGACATCTTGAGGTTTACTGACATGATAATGTTAGTGGGTTCAATACCGAAGTCGGTGGCAAGGGATCCCAGCTGTCGGGGGGCCAGAAACGTGTGTATCATTCGCCACAGATCCCTTTCTTTGCGCGCTGAAATCATGATCCAGAACGCATAGCAATCGCTCGCGCACTGCTTCGGAACCCCAAGGTTCTTCTGCTCGACGAAGCTACATCAGCGCTTGATTCGAACTCGGAGAAGGTAGTGCAAGAAGCTCTTGACAGTGCTGCGAAAGGTCGCACCACCATTGCCATAGCCCACCGTCTTTCGACTATCCAGAACGCTGATCGCATGTGAGTCAATCGAGAACATCGTCACTCATGAACCCTTTCTCAACACTTTGCAGACATTTTATCAAGGAGGGCAGAGTCAGCGAATCTGGAACCCATGATGAGCTTCTTGCGCTGAGAGGAGATTATTACGAGTTCGTCCAGCTGCAGGCACTCAGCAAGAAGTAGTGGTAATTTAGATAATGTCCGATGTTTAACTCATTAAAACATTATAATATAGTCTCGTCCACGTACCCTTTCAGAGCGAATCAGTCATTTCAGCTTTTTAGAATCATGGAAGAGACAAGGGGCCCAGAGTTCAGTACTGTAGTTCACTGACTATATCATCATACTTGCCACGAACTCGGACGTCCGAACGCCTGCGTCGTCATATAGTCCAACTACCAACTCTTGGCCTAGAAGCGTGCTCGCGCATGCTTTCTGGGTGATGTGCCCCCTCATATCTCGGTTCTGTGGATTGCTTTTCTACAATCCGAGTCCGAGTCCATCCACGCCATGTCAATATCATGCGTTCCACAATTGCGCACGGTTCTGATGGGGACCTGAGCCTCGAGTGCACTGATCCTTCACCTCAAGCGCCCCTCTCAGAGGAACTTGAAGAGCCCTTTGATTCTTCTCAGCGACCAGGGGTACCGAGCATAACTTACCTCTCTGGTGATTCGCATGGCAAATCACCGTTCGACTCCTTTGAATGACGAACGTTTGACAGAGAGTACTGACTATTGAAAGTCATTGTTTACAATTCATACTAGATGCGCAGTTATTTCCGGTTCCCTCAATTTGGAGTCAGGGAGTCCAACCCGCTACAGTTATATGATTTTCCCGTCCTTTCTGACTCAGAGTATGGCCCTCGTTCTTGGGCAGGACACTTCGTACGTACACTTCCAGCACCGGTGCAACTGAGTCAAGACTGTCGTCCGATTGACTGTTACGCCAAAAGGCAGTGATACTGAAAGCTTGTGTTTCAGTATCGCGGACAGTATTTATGTAGATTATGGGAACTCCAGTAAGCCAGCGTGCTTACAACTGGCTACGTCGTGTGACTTGTCTCCGCTAAAAACTTACAATTTCAGGATCTTCTACGATCGTGCCCTACTTAAGCTTAGTCTCACGCTCGCATATCTGCATCCACCATGCTCGTCACGATATGTGTTTGGGAACGTTGGGTTTCTCGATGGAGATGTTGCCATTACCAGTATGTAGCTTAACTTGATAATATGCGCATGGGTATTTTATCGTTACATGAGGAGTAGTGCTCGAAGTTGTGTTGGCGACGACGGGAGACACCATAGAGACGGCAGCATGGGGTTGCGAAGGTGACTGGGTTTGAGCTGTGCGGCTGGATTGCTGCGTGATGGGTTATTGGGAGGGTGCGAGCTTCCTGCAGTGGCATTTGTCCGGGTGGGCCTGGGGATTGGCCTTCGTCTCTCCCTTGCTAAAGCGTTTCTCTATATACGCCCGTGTTATGGTCATAGCAGCCCTAGTTGCGAGTAGCTTTCCGCCTGCCGAAAAGGACACGCTTTTCACGAAATGCGCATGGCAAAGGGGTGAACTGATGGGCTGGTTGTTGTAGAGATTCCATAGGCGCAGCCCAACCTAACCAGTCGCACCACACGAGACTCCGAGCGTCAGACAAAGCCGGCAAATTAGCGTCAAAAAGCCGAAGCTTTTGGGGTCTCTGCCCCCGGGCCCCCGTCAGTAAATTTGCGTGAATTTCGTGTTATTCACACTTGTAATTTTGGCCCTCGCACATGCTAATTTGCTTGTCAACCAGACACCATACCCTAATTCCCGGAACCCTATTGCGCTTATGAGGATGCGGCTGATCTGCCTCTAGTTTGAAGTATTCCATGTCCTAATCGAGTGATCGGCTGACCCGGAGTCTGGAGATAAGCGTTTTCTATCACCATATCGTTCTTTGAGAGTGGCGACGAGCAGATCTTGATGGCGGAGTCAGTATCTGGGAGCCACTCCAACCCACCAGTTGCAAACACGGTCATGTTTGGTGAGTAGACGACTGCGTACACGTTTTCGTGCCCAGTCTCGATTGGACCGAGGATTGTCTCCCTTTTCCATGTCCCACTCACTTACAGTCCTGTCCTCCTGAGAGATCCGTTCACCACTCGCTGACCATCTCGACTCCAGCACACAGACCTCACTGTTTTGTGTGTCCCATCCATTTCGCGATAACTTTGCCGGCATGTGTCGAAGTCCCACAACCTCGCTTCACCATCTCCACTTCCGCTAACAACTTTCTTCCCGTACGGAGACAACCGCTATCGTCCACAATCCGCTATCTCCGTCCCGTCAGTCGTCTCCTATTTGTTTCCCGCTCTTCAAGTTCCATACCCGCGATGAGCCGTCTCTCAAACAAATCATCATCCTCTGTCCGTCTGGCAAGTGTATGGCCCCAGTGATCCATTCGGTGTGTCCTTCAAATTTCTGTCTGAGCTGTATCATTGATGCATCTTGCCTTGCAACGATGGATGAAGACATGATCAACTACTGTCCGCAGCTCCGTCTCAGCTTTCATCCAATAAAGTCCAAACTCTCACCTACGACAATGTTTCTTAGGAGGTCTCAACGACTTGACACCAAGACACAATGGGTGTATAGGTCAAGATTATGCATTATGCATTATCCTCGTGTTCACTTAACAGTTTATAGCGTATGCTGTGCAGCGGAAGCGCCCAAGCCTCGTTTGTGATCAGCAGTCCCATTTCATCATTCACAATTTTGATCCCCGTTTTTACTGCCTGGTCAATTATAACTATAACGCCCCAGATCATACATCCACATTCTCCTAGCCAACTCTTCCTCGAAAGCGCTCGTCATCTCTGAGTTGTCAATGCTCGACACACATCTCGTGCGCAAGGCGTACATTTTACCGTGTCTCTCACCACACGGGAAACTATCCAGAACCTTTGCAATCACTGATTTTTTTTTGGACCCTCGTTTATTGTCCTTTGGGGCGGGGCCCTATGGTGGACACTATCTTCACTGATACTAACAACCATGATTTCCACCCCTCTTCCATTGGTGCCCCAACCAATACCGACCCGTAGATTGTGATGCATCGTATCGTTGCACAGCACCGAGCCCCTACTACAGGGTGGTATCTACATTACGAGGCGGAAATTCATGCGATTCTAATATTGTCCTTGCAATTAGGTGTCCGACACAACTTCACTCCGCTATCCTGGTTGATATGTAAGCAACACAATGTAGAACTATCTTTCCCCACTCAACTGCTCCTCGAAGGTGCTTGTCATCCTGCCGATGCTGGCTCCCATCTGGAGCGCAAGACATGTCTCTCAGTAGGTGAAAAACTATCCTGAATTCCCAATCACTGATACTAGCCACGTTCTATTTTTCTCCACAAACCTGGTGGTATAGCTTTGGCGGCGGATTGCAACAATACCGAATATAGTCAAGGAGATGTCTGTCTCAAGAAAGTGTCGTGGCCCTCAAACAGTCCGGATCACTGGGGGACGATGTCCAAAGGTCTGGAGACAAGACCCTCAGTTGGAGGATGCCATACCCTGGAGCTACTGAATTTGGTCTTTTAGTTGGATCACAACGGTGTCCTCGGTGGAATGGACAATCCAATGGTGTGCTCATTCTTGTAAGAGGCACGATGGCTGAGTCATCACCCCTCCTTGCGATATCTGCGCAACTAAAATACATCGTCGATGACGTTAAACGATACATTATAAACCTATCCCAGCTCCCACTGATCCCGTCTCAACATCATCCGTTCTTTCGGTGTCAACAAGTGCCGAAGTCTGATCTCAAATGTGGCATTATGGGTGATTCCACCCTCGCTGCCGTTCTACGTCCAGAAATCGAGATCTGCCCAAGAAATGAAACTACATAGGCCTGTCGCTCTCTATCGCTTTGTTTCCCCCAATTTAATATCATCAACCGATGGGATGCACCTCTTTTGAGTAGTGATAATAAGGCTCGTCACTGTGAATCATTTATGCGAGATCGGCAGGTATATCGCCCAATGTTTTAGCTCGAAGCATCTTGATAACATAGGGCATGGCACTTGTAGGATTCCATGTACGTTACAGCTATATCTGTCGAACACGAGCTCAAGTTTGTACAGTTCATCCCCCGGTGTTGGAGCACCGGCCATCATCGTCAAGGCGACTTACTTCCATCGGTTATTGTAGGTCATGGTTGGCCTACCGAGTCTTGCTGTGAGGACCTCTATTGTATGACGTCGCGAGTCTGAAAATTTTAGCGCTGTGGAGGTTTAAGATATTCCTAACAGCTCATAAGCCGCTCGATTACTAAGGCAAGGCCCCTCAAGGCAACGGAGGGCAACGACTGCAAGAAACAATTAATGGTTTATGGACGGACGAAAGTACTTATGCTGTTGGCCAAAGGAACTCAGAAATTCTTGACCTCCAGCTGAGTGTTATCGAGTCGGGAAAATGCTTTGGGGGTACTCTTATCATACAGCCGCCTGGATTCATAGACAGGCCTATCAGACTTGCCCGACTTATCGGCCTCAGCGCCCAAGTCAGTCAGCATCAGCCCATCAGATGCATCATTGATGGCCCCGACGGGCTGTCCTTGTAGTATTAATACTGGTACGGTACCAGTGAATGCTACTAACGCAGTTGTGAGTCTGAATTACTATAGCTATTAGCGATGTAAGTTTATATTGAGTCAGTGCTACTGGTAGTGGTAGTGACTTACAACAGCCAGCAACCCGGGAATGACATAATCATGTTATCGAAATTCGGCAAATGATTGAGTTGCCTTCACTTTCGTGTGCCTCGACTCGGACAGCTCGAAGAATGATACATACAGCAGTAGACTTCAAGCAAGACAGTCCGATCAAACGCTCCAACATGTCGAAAAAGACTTGATGTAGTGAAATCCTGCTTCAGCCGCATTGTTCTCACATGCGTGTGCGAAGAAATGCAATGAATATCGCGTTGCCATATTATATGGTGCATGCATGGTGACTAGGGTACGAAGAAGAAGCAGCATCTAGCTGTTAACTTCTTGGCTACAGCTACGCGAGGTAAGTACGTGTTCCCCATCAATGAATTGTTGCGTAGGCCCCTCACTTCTCACGTAAGATTGAAGACACCGTAACAGTCTTAGTGCGCCGAACTTGACTCGCTGACACCGCCGGGTACCTCGGAACCGCAGTAACCTACATAAATGCATAGATTTCTTGCAGATGTCCACTCAAGGCCCCCTCTGAGTCGAACATGAGTGCAGAACCGACTTTACTTGCATCACATACGTCGGAGAGCCGTCCACCCACTGCCGACGAAAAGAATCCTACCTTATCAAAGGAGCTCACACACTCAGAGCATGTTACTCTGGACATGAAAGAGAATTCAAAGGGCATCCGAGCCTTCCTCCCCTGGCCAAAGACAGCATCCAAGGAAACAGAGAACGAAGCCGAGAACGCAAGTGCAGCGGACACACTCGTCCCCGCGCCATTCTTATCGTTATTCCGGTTAGATCACCCTGCTTTTTGACTGAACACGATGATTCACCGACACAGGTATTCCACACGCTTTGAAATAATGTTGGACTGTTTTGGCGTCATCTTCGCTATTGCCGCCGGCGCTTCGCAGGTGGGTTTTCGGATTTGCGAGCTACATCTTCTTATTTCCTACCCTAGCCTCTGATGACTTTGGTATTTGGCGACATGACCCAAGATTTCGTTACATTTAGTTCAGTAGAGAACGAGTACTATCAAGCGCTGCAGTCAAATGACACGAATGTGATTGCGCAAGCACAGGCCGCGCTGGGTGCTGCTTCATCCTCGTTAGCTCATAGCGCTAGCCTGGATGCTTCTTACCTCGCTTATCTTGGTATGTTCTTGATTCGATGAGAATGAGACCTAGCACCCACCTGAACTCATACCAGGTATCGCAATGCTTGTTTCCACGTACATGTACATGTGCATCTGGGTTTATACTTCAGAGGCTAATGGAAAAAGAATACGAGAGAGGTATCTTCATGCCATCCTTAGACAGGAAATCGCCTATTTTGATGATGTGGGGCTGGAGAGGTTGCGACGCGCATCCAAACCGACACTCGTAAGTCATACTGGACTTTTCAAAGGTAGATGATCGAAGTCACCTTGCTCTGAAATAGACTTGGTACAAATGGGGATATCCGAAAAAGTCGCTGTTGCAGTCACTTGCATCAGCTGTTTCATCACTGGCTTTATTCTTGCATATGCCCGGTCATGGCGTCTCGCTCTTGCATTGTCGTCCATGATTGTGTGCCTCCTAATCATAGGCGGCGTTATGAAAAATTTTCTTTCAAAATACACGCAGTGAGTGTACTTGCTGTTGAGCTTGTCTTGAAGCTCTGACCTGCGTTCAACACCAGATTGTCCTTGAAGCATGTTGCTGAGGCAGGTAGTCTTGCGGAAGAAGTCATATCCACGATTCGTACCGCGCAGGCTTTCGGGACGCAAAAATTATGTCTGGAATATACGATAAGAACGTTGACGTCACTCGCGTTGTCGATACCAAAGGGAGTATTTGGCAAGGTGTAGGGTTAGGCTGTCTCTTCTTTGTCAACTACGCTGGGTATGCGCTGGCGTTCGATTTCGGAACTACCCTTATAAACGAGGGCGAGGGTCTGTTCCCGTTTCTGTGTCGTGAAACTGCATTTAACTTTGGTTTGCAGCTAACGCCGGACAGGTTGTAAATGTCTTCTTCGCCATCTTAACCGGATCATTGAATCTTGCCCTACTTGCGCCTGAATTACAAGGTAATCATGGTCCTACTTTTGCTTCGGAATTCTCATCATGCATTACTCAAGCCGTCACACGTGGTTGTGGTGCTGCCGCCAAAATTTTCGCTACGATCGAACGTGTCCCCAATATCGACTCTGCAGATCCAAAAGGACGAAAGCCCACAAAAGTTACTGGCGAGATTACGTTCGAGGAAGTCAAATTCAACTATCCATCTCGTCCAGATGTCCCAATTCTCAAAGGGATCAACATCACCTTCCCGGCTGGCAAGACCACTGCTCTCGTCGGCGCATCTGGATCCGGTAAATCCACGATTGTATCTCTTACAGAACGCTTCTACGATCCGCTCAGCGGCTCCGTCATGCTTGACGGAACTGACTTGCGAGAGCTGAATATCAAATGGCTGCGCTCCCAGATCGGTCTGGTCTCGCAAGAGCCTGTGCTTTTCGCGACGACTATCAGGGGCAAACGTCGCACATGGTCTCATTGGCACACCATACGAGGATGCATCTGATGAGGAGAAGTTTGGACTCATCAAAGCAGCTTGCGTCAAGTCCAATGCGGATGACTTTATTACCCGCCTGCCACAAGGATATGACACGATGGTCGGCGAGCGAGGTTTTCTGTTGTCGGGAGGGCAAAAACAGCGGATCGCCATTGCGCGAGCTATCGTGTCGGATCCACGGATCTTGCTCCTTGATGAAGCAACGAGTGCCCTCGATACTCGCTCAGAAGTGATCGTACAAGACGCTCTCGACAAGGCTGCTGCTGGTCGAACTACCATCACCATTGCTCATCGCTTGTCAACAATAAAGATGCTGACTGCATACTTGTAATGGGCGGGGGACTCGTACTGGAGCGAGGGACTCATGCAGAACTTCTGGCAGACGAGAATGGCGCATACTCTCGTCTCGTCGCAGCTCAATCTCTCCGCGAGGGTCGTGAAGATGATGACCTAGACGCAGCAATACCAAGTGACGAGACAGATTTGGAAAAGTCTAGGCCAGAAGAACTGCTCGAACGGAAGAGCACCATTCACTCCATCGGAAGCGACGTCGTTAGTCAATTAAAGGGAAAGTAGGGACCAGGAGGAAGACTACGGTTTATTCTATTTGATGAGACGCACTGCTGTTCTTCACCGCAAAGGGCTTCATCGTTACTTGATTGGATCTCTCTTTGCCATATGTGAGCACACAAAGCACACATTATTTACTGGGCTCATACGTTTCTGCAGGCAATGGTGCTGTTTATCCCGCCTCTGGTATCATCTTTGGTAAGTCGTTCCGCCACAAAAAATAGAGTCATTTATTCTGGCATGCACCGGCAGGGCAAGCAATCTCCGGCTTTAGCGCGACCACAAATGCTGAGCGCAGCTACCAAGGCGACCGGAATGCTCTCTGGTTGAGTTTACATATTCTCCTGGATATCATGCTGGTGCTTATCTCGAACCAGGTTTTTCATCCTTGCCATTCTAAGCGGCTTGTGTATGGGTTTCCAGAACTACTTCTTTGCTTCTGCTGCCGCTGTATTGACTGCCAAGCTCCGTTCACTGAGCTTCAAAGCTATCCTCCGACAAGACAGTAAGTGTTTAATCGCTACATGATTAGTTTTCTCACTAATACGATAGTCGAGTACTTTGACGACGACAAGAACAGTGTGAGTCTTACAACTCTTCCAGCACATGCACAACCCTCATGGACTCTGTAAGACTGGTGCTCTGACGTCAAGCCTGAGCGAAAACCCCCAGAGGATCAATGGTCTCGCTGGCATAACTCTCGGAACGTGAGTATCACTGTTCCTTCCAATGTGGTGTCACGACTGACTTTGGTTAGAATCGTCCAATCTATCGCCACTCTAGTGGTTGGTTTGGCCATTGGCTTTGCATATGCTTGGAAGGTGGCCATTGTCGGCATGGGTGCGTCCCGTTTTCCGATACTACGCATTTCTCTTAAATTTCGTCGTTATTCAGCATGTATCCCTCTCTTGATTGGCGGTGGCTATATACGTTTGGTACGTGACCTACGTAATGAGCTCCTATCGTGCTAACCGTCTTTAGCAAGTCGTTGTTTTGAAAGATCAGAGGAACAAAAAAGCGCAAGAAAGCTTGCTCAGATTGCCTGTGAAGCTGCTGCAGCCATTCGCACGTTGCATCATTGACCCGAGAAGAGCACTGTCTCAATATTTACAAACATAGCTTGGAAGGACCATCAGAAATCCACTAGGACAGCGCTCTGGAGCAACTTGCTGTATGCATTCTCTCAGGCCATGGGTTCTGGGTGACATCTCTAGCCGTCTGGTATGGCGCAACGCTCGTTTCTCGGCTGGAGTTATCCACACAATCGTTCTTCGTTGCTTTAGTGGTATGGTTATTTTGTCAATCTCCGACATGATTGAAGCACACAACACATTGGCAGAGCACGGTATTTTCCTCAATGCGGCTGGCAACTTCTTTACATTTGTGCTGATGTCTCATCGGCCAAAGGTGCCGCCGACGCAGTTATCAGGCTCCTTGATTCGA